TGTAGGCTGAGATTAAATCACCTTTTCAGAGTTTGCCCTCATCACCTCCACGCCCCCCCCCATGCATATGTCAACTTTCTTTCTCAATTTAATCCTTTCATAGTGTCCTTTTATGGAAAAGGAGCTGGTTGGTGAAAACTCTGGGTCGTCTCAGTTACCTGTGTTATATATTATCTGAATGCAGATAGTAGTGTTTGCAAGAACAATAGGTATGGGATGGAAGGAGAGCAGAAAATGGACGAATTAGGGTTTTCGTTCTTTCAAAGTCCCTGACCTAGTATTGCTTGTGTTACTATTTCTTAAAATATTTTTTTTCCATTTACTTTGTACTTTAGAGAAGAGTGAAATAAGAAAACAAAATGAAGGCTCAGAAAGAGGAAATCCTAGGCTCTAATGTTTTGCAGGACAAGAGTAGAGACAGACCAAGCTTTAGATGGGGTGGCAGTGAGGAAAGGGAGAGAAGGAAACAGATGGAAACTGTGTTGGTGACGACAGGATTGCAGTTGCTACTGCTGGTGAATTTCTTCCTGTCCTCAATTCCCCCCACTGTCCCTTTTCCCTATGATGCTGCTACCATTTTGGTAGAATTGAAGGGAAGCCAAGTAAAGTTAAATAAACAAGCATTTATTCAGCTCCTACTATGTGTAGGGATACAGAGAAAGGCTAAAACAGCCCCTGACCTCGGGAAGCCTCACATTCTAATGGGGGAGACAACATGCAAACACTGGACAAACAAGCTGTGGACAGGATAAATGGGCGGTGACCTCAGGTGGGCACATTAAAGGGTATTGGGAAAGGCTTCTTGAAGAAGATGGGATTTTGGCTAAGACTTGAGGAAAGCCAGGAGACAGAGCTGAAGAGGAAGAGAATTCTAGGCATGTGGGACAGCCAGGGAAGATGCTCAGAGGCCAGAGATGGAGTGTCTTGTACCAGGAACAGAAGAGGCCAGTCACTAGACCATTGCATATGTTAAGGGGAGTAAGAGATCAGAAAATTGGGAAGGCAGGAAGGGATTAGGTCATGGAGGGCTTTAAGAGCCAAACAGAAGATTTTATATTTGATCCTGGAGGTAATGGAGAGCTACTGCAGTCTCCTGAAGGAGATGAGGGAAGACATGGTCAGATCTTTGTCTTAAGACGATCAGATTGATGGGTGAATGGAGGAGACTTCAGGCAGGGACACTAACCACCATATTATTGCAGAAGTCCCAAAATGCACCTGCACTAGGGTGATGTCAGAAGAGAGAAGAGGGCCATGTATGGGAAATATCATGGGGAAAGGAAAGAGAGCCTGCCCACTAAACTCCAAAGAGTCATTGCTACTTAAAAGTCCTCTCAGTTCATTTTGAAACCCTTCTGTGCTATGTCCAGGGAGTCCTAACTCTCCCTCTGATGGAGTTATGACCCTCTGCTCTCTGATAATAATAGCTCCCGGGCCTGAGAGGGGGCTGGCCTTCTCCACCGTGAAGAGTTGTCTTTGGCATGAAATAGACTGTACAGTGAGTGGTATGATAGCAGTGATGAATTTCTAATTATCTGGGCAGTTCTGATGATTTTCTAAAGGAGAGGGCTTTCTTAATCATTAACAGCAAAACCACAGGAGTGAATCTACCTAAATTCCTGGAATGTTGGCCAGTACCAATGGAATAAAGTGAAGCGAAAGACAAATGAAGTATTAGGGAATATTAGCTCGACTGGCCTGAGATTTCCCAGTCCCTGGGATCACTAGTCAAAAGGATGTCATGAAAAGCACAACTGGTTGGGGACCATGTCATCAAATCCAACATGGAGCTTACAAGTTGCACAAAGGGATAGAACCCTTCGTTGATTAATCCGTCACCTTCTCCTTCCTGCCCAGAGATATTCTGAAGAGTAGATATTCAGATTCTTCATCTGTAAAAGGAAATCCTACATCCAGTTTTATCTGTGATGCTGTGTCATCTCCAGAGTTGATTGATAATCTGTGTACCTTCCCCCCTTCCAACCTTGACTCTAAGCGCAAGCCTTCCATGATTATTAACCTTGCCGACTTTGAGCATCCCTCTATTCTGCATTCCCTCTGCATTTTTTAACTCAAGTGGTACCATTATCGCAGTGCATACCGCTGGTTCCCTTTCCTCCAGGTGGCGAGGGGAAGTGATCTCGGTTGGGCCAATAGGCTGGGGCGCTCTGGGAGCACACCTCCAGTGTGTGCTCCCTGACGGCTCTGCAGCAGCCCAAACACAGCACCCCAGAGATACCCCACACTTGCCACAAGAAAGGTAACAGGGGAGGAAGCCCAGGAGCCCCGGCTCTCACTGGCCTGTAGTTGTATGTGACCTTTCTGTCCTTTGACCACCATGGCCATCCTAGGCCAGTCTGATCAAAGCTACACCAGCCGCGGGATCTCTCTGCTTCTTTAATGTACCTAGCAAACAGCAGCCTCTGGTAGAAGGATCTATGCAGCTGACCCTGGGATAGCCCGGTTGTTTCAAGAAGCCCCAGTTTAAGGGGGCTTCTGAAGGTCCTCTGGTTTCCCTGAAGATTGTCTCCCCTGTCTTCTCTTTTTCATATTAGCCCTGTGTACTATTCTCTGATAATTTGCTCTTCCTTCCTTCCTACTTTCCTCCCTTTCTTCCATCTTTCTTTCCTTCCTCCTTTCCATCTATCTGTCTAATCTATCCATACACACAGATTTATACATACACACATACATGTATATTTAAATATGCATATTGTTGTTTAGTTGCTTCAGTCATGTCTGACTCTTCGTGACCCCGGTTAGGTTTTTTTGGCACAGATACTGGAGTGGTTTGCTATTTCTTTCTCCAGCAAAATATATATACACACATATATATATGTTATCATCTTTGTTTTTAAAGTCTGTTACTTTGTTATGTTGTTATTGTTTTTTGTTGTTGTTGTTGTTGTTGTTTTAAAGGCAGTTGGGGTTAAGTGACTTGCCCAGGGTCACCCAGCTAGAAGGTGTCAAGTGTTTGGTCTGAGGCCGGATTTGAACTCAGGTCCTCCTGATTTCAGGGCCAGTGCTCTATCCACTGCGCCATCTAGCTGCCCCTACTTTGTTATGTTGTATGCCCCCATTTGTGTTGCTGAGTCCCAACAGGAGGTTGCCATGTTCTGTCATCCCTTTGTGTCCCCTGTGGCACCTCGCATGGTATTATGCATGTGGTCAGTGCCTAACAAATATGGATTCAACCATTTAGATCAGTAGTGTATTGTCATGTATTTCAGAGTCTTTTGCAGTGATCAGTAGATGTGGATGAGCCCTGGGGCACACTTCTCTAACATGTACCTCTCCACCTATGTCCATGAATTCCTATTGCTTCAAATGGATCTGCCTCCCTGAAATGAGAGCTCTCCCTGACAGACCTGGGGTCGTGCCAATGACCAGTAAGTAAGGTTCTCCGGCTCAGGCACGAGAGGAGTCAGGAGATCTGAGTTTTCCTCCTGCTTTAGCAGCCGTGCCTCTGAGTGATCCTGGCCAGTTGCAGAATCTCTCCAGGATCCGGTGTTTTGCTTACCAATTTTTCCTGATCCCCAGCTTCCACAGACACCCAGTCCCAGAGATTATGTGCTCATTATATGCACTAGGGTGCCATCCTCAGGCCAACATGGGTCATACTATGAACATCAACTCTTAGGTGGGTGGGTGTGAGGTTGCTTCTGTTGGACATTCTATCTTTTTATCTCTATGGGATATTTCTGCATATCCACAGCAGTATTTCACAGTTTAAATAGAGTATTTCTTTGTCTTGACACGATTCCATTCACAGTATAGATTCTGGGGAAACATCTCAGTTCTCCAAAAAGCGCTAGTTACTGGGAAGAAAGTACATTAGGATTTTTCAGGTAGAAGATAGAGGGTAGTATGTGAAATGGAGGTGCCATGCGCTAATTCAGCTTGCCTCGATTGGAAAGTGGCTAGTACCAGAGCTGGATATGGAAGGAACCTAAAGAGTCCTGCCCTTTCCTTTAATTCTGCTTCTCAAAGGACCCTTACCGTAGTAGGGGCATTGGTTTACCACCAGAGTGAATCTGGAAGTGACCAGGTTCATGACCAGAGTCTCCTGCTCTCCCACTTGTAGCCTTCTAAAACCCACGGACGATGGTTGAGTGAGGTGCTATGTGCTTTATATGGCGCTCTTTGGGAGACTCACAGTCTCTTTCCTTATACACTCTTCATGCCACATTCTTGGCAGGAGGTAGCTCAGTGGTTAGAGTGCTGGACTTGGCATCATGAAGACTTGCGTTCCTGATCGTGCCTTAGACACTTAGTAGCTCTGTGGTCCTCTGTGGTCACTTAACATTGCTCAGCCTCAGTTTCCTCATCTGTAAAATGATGGTAAATTCACCTACCTCCCAGGATTTTTGCAGATATCAAATGAAGTAACATGTGTACAGTATTTTACACACCTTAAAATGTTACATAAACGTTAACGCTTATGATTATTAGCTCTCCTCAAAGCTTGTCTTAGGTGCCACCTCCTTGGGGAAGCCCCAGTTGTCAGTGCTCTACCTTTTCCCAGAGCACATTCCATTGACTTAATCTGTGTAAAGGTTGCACTCCCTCTAGTGGAATATAATCTCTCTCCTTGAGAGCAGGATAAGCCCCCACCCAATAAATACTTGTTGAATTGAATTAAATTGATCTTACTGAACCTCTCTGGCACCCGATAAATGGACTCTGCCCCTGGACTCAGAACTAACTGGACTTAATTCCGTGCTCTGGGTTATTGCAACAATAGCATGTTCACGTAGTTCAGTAGGTACAGGTTGTCAGTGAGACGACATGTCCTTAACCTCTAGCAGAGCTATTCCGGGTGCCCCTTTTCAAAGAGGCCCAAGGCGTTGTTACTGCAGCTAGGACTTGAGAAACTATTGATTTCTTAGATGGAAGGCAGCATTAGACGTGGTGGTCAGCACGCTTTACCAGGACAAAGGGATTCTCTTGTGTGTGTTTGTGCCTGGCTGGAGACCATCTCTGTGTTTCTGACCTCACAGGGATAGCACATCTAACTCTTTAACACCTGATGGCTCTGAAGACATGCCGATGGGTCAGGATGCAGAGATCTGCTTGCTGAAGTCTGGAGAGCTGATGTGAGTAGCACTGCAGGGTGGCATTGGCTAAGTTGGAGTGCACTGAGGTGGGGAACCAAGGAGGAGCCCCTTTTGGTTGGGGCCTTGATTCGTTGGAGGTCAAAGATTATTGACAAGCCTACCAGTTTTGGCAACCTCAGGCAGTCCTTTGATTTTCATGCCACAATTGATGCCTTCATGGAAATGCTGCCATCTTTCTCTGGGCCCTTCTTGCTCCTTCTCCCATGTCCTTTCTACCCTGCTACTGCCTGACTGACATGCTGAACTCGACCAAGAAATACAGAATGAGAACTTCATGGGAGAATTGCCCATCTGCCCATACTACCCTAGTACTTGGGACTGCCACGAAGCCCTGTCCATAGATAAACGTCACCTGCGGGCAGGAGCATGGGAATGAATCTCAGCTGCCCACTTTGGGTCACAAACCTTTGCCCTTCTTCAGCCCCCTTTAGAAATATGAACAGTGACATTCCCCAAACTGTCTTTTCTTTCCTGCCTCCTTTTACCATTGGAGAAACCTCATCCACTGTACGTGGAAATAGATCTTGACTCTAAGACTATCCCTCTACCCATTAGGCCATGTGGTCTCCCCTTAGGTATTACTGCTATTATTATTCCCATCTTACAGGTTAGAAAATTGAGGCTCAGAGTGGCTTGCCTATGATCATATGGTGTCAGAAGCATAAGTTGAAACCACATCCTTCGGCCCCTATCAGCTAGACTCTGTAACATTGTGACTGGGGCAGTTCCCTCCCTGCTCAGAATTTCTGCTCATTCAGTGCCGTATCAGCATAGAATACCTATCAGCTAAACCCTCTACACTTATGGGAGATACCCACTTGCCACATCGCAGTAATGCAGCATAACATCTTTAGGGGTAACTTCTCTCTTTTAAATACATTTTTGATATACCTTTTCGTTTTGTTTTGTTTTTCACAAAACAAATCATGGGGTTAATTTTCCACCTTTTTGCCTGCACAGAGAAGTAAAAGAGCCAGGGAGAACAAACTGAAATCAGTAGGGGAGATAACTAACCATCTTCCTCCTCACCCTCGATCACTAGCTGCCTCCTTTTTTCCCATTACAATAGGGGCTACCTTTTTTGCGTGTCATGGACTCCTTGGGCGGTATCGTTTCTCAGGATAGTATTTTTAAACAAGTAAAATAAAATCCACAGGATTACAAAAGAAGCCAATTATATTGAAATCATTATCATGGACCTCAGGTTAAGAACCCCTACATTAGAATGTAAACTGGCGAGAAAGGATTATTTCTTTCTTTGTACTTGTATCTCCAGCACCTGGCACAGTTCTAGGTCACAGTAAGCACTTAATAAATGCTGATTGATTTTTCATCGATTGATTAGTATAGTCCCAATTCCCACGCAAATAATTCCTACTTTATAGGAGCCAGAAATTTTTCAGTTCCCGAGGGTAAAAGTTTTCCTTCTAAAATCTCTGTTTAGTTGATCATTTTATGTATGTAAAATAATCATAATGCTAATAACAAGTTTGTTCAAATAAAGTTCTTAACAAGCTTCCCTCCCAAAAATAAAATAAAAGGAAATAAAATCTCTGCTTGGTGGGAAGGGGGAGGGCCCAAGATTCCTCTGCTGAATGGACGAGAGAGTGGTTGGTGCTAACCATACCTGGACATTGGTCAGCCAGCTGAACTCATCCCCCGTATCTTCCTTTCAGGATAAAATTGCCCCTCACAGTGGATGAGATCTTGAATTTTGGAGAAAGCAGCAGAGAGCTGTTTGTCAGATCCAGCACTTACAGCATCATCCCGATCACTGTGACAGAGACGGGCCTCACCATCAGCTGGGTCTTCTCCTCTGATCCCAAGAGCATATCATTCAGTGTCGTCTTCCAAGAATCTGAGCACGCTGCCCTGGATCAGTGCAAGGTAAGGGTCCTTCTGGTGGCCTGCCCCATAACTCCACACACCCAGAGGCAAAACCATCAGAAGACTTGTGTCTTGAGACGCGTGCCCCCTCCAGATCTTTCTGGCCCCAGAGCTGGTGGAACCACTTTTGCAATCACAGCTTCCGGCCAGGTGTGTGCTGGTAGGTATTCCACAGCTGGTTGTCTGGGGAAAATATGTTCACACAACACACTTTGGAGTTTAAGCTGCATTATTCGTGTTTTCTCTGTCCCCTTCTAAAGTCTAGAGACAATCAACAAAGCAATAAACCAAGCCCTGACTGGAAGTGTTTGCAGATTTCTGAGATGCCAGCACTCACACTGTCAATTTAACAATGGGCTCGGCTAGCCCTAGCCCTCTTTCCCAGACCCTACCAGCACATTTCCTTGTCTGCGCCCCCTGCTGTGAGAGCCTTGGCAGCTTCTCTTGTTATATCCAAACAAACCAGTAGGGGGCAAAAGGAAGCCACTTACCATGCCCTGAGCTGTTCAGCGCTGTGCTCAGACAGGTCGTCTTTATCTGTCTGGAGTATGAGTAGATGGTGATTCTCCCCCTCTTGAAACAGAGCACTGAAAAAACATCAGGGGAAGAAAAAGTTTCAGAGCTTGTCCCCCAGCAGCTGATTCTACAAACTCACCCTCAAAGACAGGCTTTATGGTCACGGATGACGCACGTCACAGGCAACAGGAAAGGACCTCCTTCTTCCCCAGAATGTGTGATTCTGGATCATCAGGAATCCTGGATCGATAGCTGAGAAGGCCTCAGAAGCCTGTCACTTGGCAGAGGTGGAAACCAAGGCTCAGGAGGCGAAGGGACTGACGGGAAGATTGTCCTTTGTTGTCCAAGAGGACCACAATGACATCACCATGCTAGTCAAGTTACAGTGCATCCGACTGTGGCTGATCAGACCAATATGAACTCAGAATGTTCTACCACAGGCTGGCCACAAATAGTCAGTGTGAACATTTGGGGTGGATTCTCTAGGTTTGCGCATCTTAACAAGTAGTAGGTAACATTTGATCCTAGGTCCTCCGACTTACGAGCCAAAGGCCTTTTACTCAGTAGGTCAGCTAGTCCTTATTCATACCTCCTATGTGCCAGGCACTGTGCTGAGTGTGAGGGATGGGAAAGACAACAACTGTAGAAACAAAATTGTTGTTGTTCAGTCCTTTAAGTCACGGCTGACTCTTCGTGATTCCATCTGGAGTTTTCTTGGCAAAGATGCTGGAGTGGTTTACCATTTCCTTCTCCACCTCATTTGAAAGATGAGGAAACTGAGGCAAACAGGACTAAGTGACTTGCCCACGGTCACACAGCTAGGAAGTATCTGAGGTCAGATTTGAACTCAGGTCTTTCTGACTCCAGGACCAGCACTCTATCCACTGTACCACCCAGCTTCCCCAAGAAGATACAGTCAGGTTAAATTTGGGGTAGTCTCAGAAGGACAGCACTAAGATTTAGGAGAACTGAGAAAGACCTCTTTCTATGGCTCGAATCATGTTAAGACCGAGTAAAAGTCACAGCACGTTATTATGGTGTTGTCAGGTCCCAAACAGAGGCCACCATGCTCTCTCCCTACAGCACCACTTAACAAATTTGGATTCAGCCATTCAGATCAGTAGTGTTTTGTCATGTATTTCAGAGTCTTTTGTGATAATAAATATGGTTAATCAGTTGACTGTGGATGAGCCCTGGGGCACACTTCTCCATGAATTCCTATTGGCTTCAAATGGATCTGCTTCCCCCAAATGAGAGGTCTCCCTGACAGACCTGGGGTCGTGCCAGTGACCAGTAAGTAAGGTCTGCTCACTCGGTCACAGGAAGAGTCTGAATTTTCCTCCTGCTTTAGCCGCCATGCCTCTGAGCGATTCCTGCAGAATCTTTCCATGATTCAGTTACCAATTTAGAAAATGATTTGGATGAAAAAAAAGAGTAGCCAACTAATCAACATAACTTTGAATAAACCACAAGCCCACAGTTTTAAATGGGATGGGAGGGAGTGGCCAGTGTTAGGATCTCACGTATCAGATGTGGGATCCTTTTGGGGGGGGGGTGGAGAAATGCCCCCTAGTGAAATTATTTATGAATGATATAGAGTGAAATAAACAGAACCAGAAGAGCAATATCCACACTGATTACAACAATGCACATGAAAAGATCTCTAGAAGAAAACCAAACTGAACAAATGAGAACTCCAGTCATGTCCCAGTGAGGAAACAATGAAGCATGCCTCCCTCATCTTGGCAGAGAGGTGGGGGAGGATGGGGTGGAACGGCGCCTACACTGTCACTGCGTGCATTCGACCAATCAGTCTAATTTACTAAGCACCTCCTATGTGCTAGGCACTGTTCTAAGCTCTGGGGATACAAAAAGAGGCGAAGAACGGTCCCTGTCCTCAGGTACTGTCATCTTACAGTGTAAGGTAACATGCCTTCCTCTTGCCACCTTTTCATCACAATGTAGAGAGTTGACAGTCCAGGCTTGTGCTCCAGTTATCGTAGATTCTGAATTCACGGAGCTCGAGCAAGTTGCTTAGTGTACGTGGCCTAGACCTCCACCACAGCCTATTCTGGTGCCGCGGGGTGGTGTGGAGGTGACCCTGGGTTCTCAAAGGCTGTGCCAGTGACGCACAAACCTCAGCAAAGGCTCCCTGGGAGACCCAGGGTCGGACACGGAGCAGCCACTTGGTGGCGCTCAGGGAGTACCTGGCAACTGAGGTGCTGGTGATGAAGATCTGGCTTCATGTTTTATTTGAGTTCATGTGATAAATAATTCATTTGGACCCTTACTCTGTTCTCATTAGTATTAATCAATTTTATATGGTTCTGTAAGGGTGGTGATTATAAGTTCTGTATATTAGGTTTCAGAGCTGTGAGCTGCAGATTGTAAGTTCATTTGCTTAATCATAGGAAATTAACTAGAGGCCCTCCACCCTTGGTTTTCCTTGTCATGGTGACCAAATCTAGTGTGATAGAGGTGACTCAACTACATGGAAAATCCTCCAATTTATTTTTGTACCTCGGAACCATTCTCTCTTGTCCAGCATGAGCAAGTAACAACCATCTTATAACCGTCTTATGACATTTAGTCAGTGGAAATGTCCCATGCTTCATCCAACCTATGGAAACCCCCCCACCCTGCTAAAATGCCCTTTTTAGCTCTCAAGAGCTAGGTCTATCAACCAAAGTGATTCTATATTTTGCCATGCCTCTTTTGCATATTTGGGTGTCATACTCTATAAATACAAGGTCCTGGAAGAAAAGGGCATCTCATATCATGAAAAAGAGCTGAGGGTCCACTTCATTAGAGGGGACAGTGGACCCTTTAATAAAGTGCCATTGGCTCAGAGCTCTGCCTCAGTCTTTTTTATTGTAGGTTGGACAATTTTCAACCCCACATTAATGGCACCCAGAGATGGGACCGGCAATGCGTGGACCCCAACCTCTTTTGGCCGGCTCCTGTAAGGAACCCAAAAAGGAATTATCTACTGGGTCAGATTTTCTCCAATGGCTCCCCTGTAGACCCTGGCCCTGAGAGGTTGGACTCCCCTCTCTGTCTGCACCCAAATTCTCTGAGCCTGAGGTAAGTCTCTTCAGGATTGGTACACCTGCCTTGATTTACCCTAAATTCATTTTCTTTAAAAAGGGTCCCCGATTGGGCCAAGAGGGACTGTTTGAATTTGTGACTAATCTGCCTAAATGTATAAGCTTCAGAGCACTCAAATTTTTTTTTTTATAAAAATTATGTGACCATAATTTTAACTTTATGCACCAGCTACTGGGTTTTTTTTCTCTGTTTTCTTTATTTTCATTTTGTTAAGACCAGGGAAAATTGCTAGTTCCTCATTTTCAGCCAGCTAACCACCTAGCTAATTTTAAAACTTTCTGTTGTCACGGTTAAAATAGATTTTCTGCCTTTAAATTCTTTTAGCAAAGAGTAATTATAAATCATTTTTGTCATTAGTAGAGAAATCTCTTAAATTGAGAGGGAAACTTTCAATGGTTCACAGCAGGGCAAGGAGCCCATTCAGAGGACCCCATGACCAGTGCCTGGATGGGTAGGGCTTGGGGGAGTGCCCCTACTCCAGTGCTCTGACAACACCTTGAGGGAGCAATAATTTGGTCTAGACTTGACAATGTTATGGGAGAGATTCCGTGCCTCAACAGTAAGCTGTCGAGATATGTGACCATCCTGGGAGCAATCCCACCTTCTTCTGACCTGAGAAAGAAGGCTCATTTTGGTTTTACAGAGATGAGGAAAGGAAAAGGTTATTTTCGCTTATATTTGCTTCAGATTCAGTCAGTTATTGACAATCAGAGCTAAATTTTCAGGAAGTTTTAGAGGAAAGTAGGTATAAATTTTGCTGAATATTTGCTTATAAAGGACCTTTAGGTCCCAGTTGACCAGTCTTAGGACCCTAGAGGTTAGGCCCAGAAATTAAGAATTGAAAGTATTGGAGAATTTGCCAAAACAAATCCCTGAATATTACAGTATTAGCAGTAGGAAAGATGCCCATTTGGTGGAACTCAGGCAAGTAGAATATTACCTCCCACAGTTCATAACCAAAGTGGGGGTCATCACTAGTGCCTTCAGCTGGGGAACGTCTCAAGCAGAATATGCTGAAAGGTGGGTCACTCAGGAATCTAGTCCAATTCTTTCAGGAGATGTTCCTCCAAAGAGTGCCACTCCTGGTCGGGAATGTCCACAGGAGAGATGGGGGGCAGGCATAAGAGGAGAAGTGCATCCTACAGGATCCCCATTGGGACAGGGGTGAACTCCCTTTCTGGAGATGACCAGAGAAAGAGCTATTAAGCTGTGTAAAATCTGGTTTGAGAATGCCAAGACCTCAGGGAATTGTTTTGGCCAAAGCATGGAACTTTTGATTACTTAGAAAGTTAAGGAAATATATTGAATAAGCTCTCAAAATCAGCTTAGCATAAATGAACTATCGATATTCCTAAATCCTTCATCAGTCCCAGTTT